CGGAACTGTGTCGCGCGTGCTGGCGGCGAAAGTACGGTTTCGTTGTGATAGACAAGGAGAGCTCGTTTCGCAAAGGCAGGTACAGACGCGGGTTCAACGAGTTCGCCGTGCCGTAAACAGCGACAGTTGCGAACGGTATGTCAAGCAACGACGACGACAACGAGGCTTCGCGCGCGTCGGCATTGACCGCCGATATCGACGAACGCGAGCGTTTGGTGAAAGAAATCGCTCGAACGCGCGAATCAATACGCAAGAAACATCGATCGTTGAAAACGGGTCGCATCGAGAAAGAGTTCGCTCTCAAACGACAATTCAAGCCGATCGTTGAGCCGGTGCAGGAACTTGTGGAGAGCGCAAAACCAACGGACAGTTTTTATACAACGGGTGTGAAGAGGAAACTCGAAGACGACGCGGCGACGAGACCGACGCCGTTAAAACCAAAAAGACGTCGATCAACCGTCGCACCGCTGACATTATTACCCTTTTCCGCGGGTGATAACAACAACAGCGATGCGATCCCAACGCCCGAGCCGCCCGCGTCGCCCACGTTGCTCGAACGCACGGTCGACGAATTCGCGCGAACGAGCGACGGCGAAACGAGAAACACGTTGTTCCAGCGTTTGGGACCGTTGGGTCGCAGATACATCGGCGCTCTGTTGAGCACCGACAGATCAAAGACCATTGACACAACATTCGGTGTGTACTTTGGCGAGGAGGGTACGATGCTCGGCAGCAAACGCTTCGACGTCGGTTCCGACGACTCCATCATCGTGGGCGACGTTCGATACGCGGGCACACCGGGTCTGTACGAATTGATATTCATGAAGCATCCCGACAGCACCGCGTATACCGAGAGCGACAAACGCGTGTATCGCGATTTGTTGCTGAGAACTAACGCTCACAGACGGGATCATCGTCTCACAGCGCCTGTAAAGAGCAGCAAAGGTTACAAGTACAAAAATATTATTGCACCTTTGTTCTTCAACATTCACCAAACAACGACGATGGGTGAGGGAATGCATCTGATCGCTATAAAAGTGACCAACAACGCGATAAATTACGTACACTGGGACGATCCCAACNAACTCGTGGATCGTTTGAGATTGTTAGAGGCGTCTCGTCGCGCAGGAAACGACTCGCATGACAACGAGTTTTTGTCCATCATCGAAGAGCTTTGCGAGGCGGGAGTGATTATAAATTGAACCGTTGCTCGGCGAACGTCGACAGTTCCGTTTGCGCGCGATGAGCGTCAACAAGTTCGGTTCGACGTTGCAAAGGCGCGGTTACTACTACAATAACAAAGAACGCTTTCGACTAGCTAATTTGCGCAATTACGTACGCAACTGCGCTCTCTGTTTATCCGCGTCATCAGACGAGTACGATGCTAATGAGCGCGCGATAACTCGTTTGAAGAAACCGCAAAACAATTCTGCCGCGACCAAGTTATACGTAGACGACGCTGTCACGCAAGGGATCAACGCCGCATATCGCCGTCATGTGAAACATTTTGTCGATCGACATCTGTTCGACAATCATAAAAACCGCTTGGAGTATTTGAGCAAAGAACTGAGCAATAACATTGAGCATCTGCGAACAAACGCGCACGATCGATTGAATAAGCTGGAGAAGAGGCCGCGGGGTGCAGATCCGCAAGAAGTCAAAACCTTGAGAAACGACTTGATTTAATTACAACAAACATTGGAAGAGACCGTTGAGCGTCTGCAAAAAAACGATCAACTGGATAAGCTGAAGAATACACACAGATCTGAAAAAACAGATTGAATCTTTGCAAACGAATGTGAACGAGTTGTTGCGCGACGTTCCGACACATGTTCAAGAATTCATTTGTACGCAAAACGCTGGCTTGACTAACAAAGTGTTGGAAACATATTTTACCATTACAGGAATCTCTGAACAAGTTAAAATATGATCTGAGTTCATTGCAAACGAACAATCTGGGTTATGATTTGCACACCATTTACCAGACTGTACAAGAATTGGTTGAGAAAAACAAACAGATAACATCGGGACAAAACAAAACATGAGCGTTGAGAAGAGAGAGCTCGCAGAGGAGCTGCACGCGCCTGCGCGACGCAACTTTC